AGCAGTGTCAGAGCCTGTGTCTTGGTGGAAGCAATAAATAACACTACTTAGTACTTATGACAAGATGATCTTAATGTGCTTTACAATCTAGGCATCAAACATACCCATTTTCCAGATGGGGAAACTGAGCCATGCAGAGAGGCAAAGTGACTTGCCCAAGGTCACGCTGGAGGTCAGTGGCAGAGCAAGAAAAGAACCAAGGACTCCTGCTACCCACTCCACTGTCCTCTCCACCAGAACTCCCTCTTGTCTGCCACAGCAGCTATCATGTAGTGAGAAACACCCTATATTGATATCTATATACATCATTTGAGCTTCACAGATCCTGCTTAAAGTTTTCCCACTTCCAATGGCCTGATCCTGTGCATTGCTTGGTGCCCTTAACTCCCACTGAGTCACAGGGCACTCAACGGCTGGATGGATCAGGCCCTACATTTGAAGTTTGCAATGATATCCTTGTCAAATCATGTCATGTCAAAAAAGGTCACGGTGTAAGGCGTTTTCTGCTAATGCTCATTCTTTTTCTGTGGGATCTCAGCACCTGTTGAGATGGGGTACAGCTCTGCATTGATACTGGCAGAGAAATCTCTCAAAACACTCTCTCTCTCTCCTCCATAACATTCCTGTTTCACTTGTGCAGTTTACTCAAGCCTGCACAGTGCACTGACAAAATATAATCCAATGGAAACATGCCAACACCTTATTTATGTGACTTGCCAGTGAGAATGAACCAATAGACACTGGGGAAGGAGTTTTGTTTGATGGTTAGAATGTGACTAGGTGTCAAGTGACTAGTTTCTATACTACTGCCCTCTACTGGATGGGACTGGAACTGCTGGCCTGTGTGTCATAGGTCCTATACTGCTAACAGCTCATGGAGATTTTCCTTTAGCTCCAGTAGTAATGGCTTTGGCTTGTAGCGTAAGAGAATTCAAGTTACATCCTCACTGTGGCTGCAAAATTCTAAATGGCCAAGGCATGCAGCACACTGACAACCACACGTGCATATGTAGCCACAGATATGCTACCATGTAACTGACCTTTTCCTCGTATGATCTAAATACCTTTAAAAAAAATCTAGCCGCAAATGCCCAAATCACTTTTGAAAATGGAACGTAGGGTCTTTTGAAATTTTACCCTGTATCTGTCAGAGTAATTTGGACCTTCAACTGGGAGTTTTAGGGTTAATATGCACCCCAAATTTGCTTGACAGTGGGGAAATGTTGACGCCGTGCGCTCGGCATCTTTTTTCTTCCCTCACCCCGGGAACATTTTATCACTGGAATTGAAATAAAACTGCCACAAACTAACTTACTAAATTCAATATGTCTGTACACATCTCCACCCCAGGCCCTGAGTTGTAGACTATGGAGTCTGGTTTAACTTTATGGAACACCCCTGGCTACTTAACTGAAAAGCCCACAGGTCCTTCCATCAGTCTCTTTCTGAAACGTTGCCACTTCAGCCATTTCCAATTTTGCACTAAGGCCGTTTTCAGCTAAAATCAGCAATCTCAGGGGTGCCAGCAAAATGCAGGGATTGACAGGCAGGCACACGATTAAGCTGATGAGGAATCTCAATCAGGCAGAGAAGCAGTAAGATGATCTTTTGTTCCAGTGGCACCCACCCTACTAACGCTCAGATGATTCTACCCCCTGAAGCACCCAAAAACTGCACTGGAAATGTCAGCCCTGGGAGCCAAGTCATAGCTGGAGACGTCTGCAGGTGATTACCAGCTGCTGCTGTTTCTAAATAGAACTGGAGGATACAGTTTGAGGGGCTGGAGAAGAAACAGACCAGCACGATGGTGACATTTACAACCCAGAGTAAGAAATCACCGAATGTGAATCAGAATAAATATAATACTGTGCACTTGTTCAGTGCTTTCCGTCTCAGGATCTCAAAGCATTGTACAAGCTTTAATGAACCGTCTGGGGGAGGTAGGATATTTGTGACCTAATGGGCCGAACGGAGTCCTGTTCTAAGGGGAACACAATGGCATCAGAGGGTGTATTGGTGAGAGCCAAGGGCATATGAGGAGGATTTCATTGGCAGTTGCATGCATCAATTTATGCCAGGACTTCAATTTGGCCAAGTGACTTTATCGTACCTGCTCACCAGTTGAATTTGGCCGATGATTCCTTTTCCCTCTTTAATTCCCAAGATTCTGTTAATTGTCCCCATTTGAAGTGAGTTTAAAAAAATTGCCTGGTGTCGCTAAACTGACGTGGTGGTCTCAGGTTTGGTGTTTTACCTGAATTTAGATGGCAAGCCGTTCAGGACAGGGACCTGGTCTTTTAAACGTTTTGCAAAGCCCTGTGTGTGCTTACAGCTCTCTGTGAATGAGAACTATGGGGGACATTTCCATGAGAGTTGGGGTTTCTATATCAGAGCACCCTAATGCCAGGAGAGCCTTTTGTAACACAGACGTTCTCCCACTGCTGGAGAAAGAGGGAGAAATAGCGCCCCCTAGTGTACTAGTTGAAGTAGGAGGCTCAGGGATATCAGCTGCGATTCACTGCTAAATTATGTGGTAGGTTTTTAGCAAGAGAACAGAACAGATAAACCTCCCACTTCACTACGCTAACATCTCCAGGCAGGGAAAACTAGACATAAAGATTAAGACAAAGACATGAGTCTGTTACTGGGAGCACTTTAATAAACATAAACTAACTTTGGATACTCAGCGCAGTGCCAACAGCACTTGCCAGCGCTTGTTAGGTTCACATAACTCTGATTCACGGGAAGGACAACTTCAATCCAGGTCTCCAGTGGCTGGAGAGAGCTTGCTGTGGCAGGGCATCGTTTAGAGGATAAAGGATCCGGGGCCTTAAAAGGCATCCTAATCCCCACCGCCCACTGGTGCACGATGCCCTCACTAGCAAACAGGAGACAGGATCTCTGTGAAGCAAAGGGATCGGTGTCTTTCAGAAGCTTTAGAACAGATTTTTGTTATGCTTGATGAGGAATTAAGTGACTGCAGAATTGTCACCAAAGTCAAGTTGGCCAAGGGGACTGGATGGCTCAGGACAGGGGTGGGCTTAGTAGTTGGGAGCCTCTTGTTTCTAGGTCACATGGTTCAAATGCCACCTAGATTATTAACAGTGTTCAGTCACCACCATCTGAACACTAGTCTGTGTGAACATTGCTTGTTTCAGCCCATCTTCCAGTAAATAGGGAACCAGCCCCTAGTGTAGCTGGGAGTCTGGGAGATGTCAATTTTCCTTATATTGACTGGGCACATTTCAGCTCAGGACAGGATGCAGAGGTAAAATTTCTTGACACCTTTCTTGACTGCTTCTTGGAGCAGGTAGTCCTGGAACCCACAAGAGGAGAGGCAATTCTTGATTTAGTCCTAAGTGGAGCACCGGATCTGGTCTGAGAGGCAAATATAGCTGGACCGCTTGGTAATAGTGACCATAATCACAGTCATGCTGGAAGGGCCTAATCAATTCTGGGTCCGGTTCTGTTCAATATCTTCATCAATGATTTAGATAACGGGATAGAGAGTACACTTATAAAGTTGTGGATGATACCGAGCTGAGAGGGGTTGCAAGTGCTTTGGAGGAGAGGATTAAAATTCAGAATGATCTGGACAAACTGGAGAAATGGTCTGAAGTAAATAAGATGAAATTCAATAAGGACAAATGCAAAGTACTCCACTTAGGAAGGAACAATCAGTTGCACACATACAAAATGGGAAATGGCTGCCTAGGAAGGAGTACTGCGAAAAGGGATCTGGGGGTCATAGTGGATCACAAGCTAAATGTGAGTCAACAGTGTCACACTGTTTCAAAAAAACCGAACATCTTTCTGGGATATATTAGCAGGAGTGTTATAAACAAGACCTGAGAAGTAATTCTTCCGCTCTACTCTACACTGATATGGCCTCAACTGGAGTATTGTGTCCAGTTCCGGGGGCCACATTTGAGGAAAGATGTGGACAAATTGGAGAGAGTCCAGAGAAGAGCAACAAAAATTATTAAAGGTCTAGAAAACATGACCTATTAGGGAAGATTGAAAAATTGGGTTTGTTTAGTCTGGAAAGAGAAGCCTGAGATGGGACATGATAACAGTTTTAAAGTATGTAAAAGGTTGTTACAAGGAGGAGGAAGAAAAATTGTTTTTCTTAACCTCGGAGGATAGGACAAGAAGCAATGGGGTTAAATTGCAGCGATGAATTGTTCAATCAATATGAAACCCGCCATGATGGACAACACATTCAGCCCCACTTCCAATGCCCTCCCACCAAATCAGACATAATTCAGCCATAGCCCAGAGTAAAGCCAATGACTTATCAAAGGGATACATCTGGCACTTGTGCCCTGAAGATTGGTAAATTTAGGTTCTGGAAAATGCTCCAGAAGCAATTCCACAACCAGAGACACTTCACTAAATATATGCTGAACTATACATATCTGGGGATGGTCAGCAAAAGCATCTTGGAGGAGTTCAGCTCCCACCATCCATCCAGGTACTTGTATGACCCTCATCACCATAAAATCTGATGGTTCATAGAATGGCAGCCCATCTCTAAGGTATCAAGGATGGACACCATGCAGAGTTTTCTAGATTAGAATCAAGACCTTGAACTGCACCCAGAAGCACATAAAGTATCTTAATCTGTGCACTTCCCTGGGCTAAGGTGGAATAAGTTGACACTGACATACTCCATCAGGAGGGGCAGGCAGCATGCTCAACCATCTTGGAACATCTGTGTGATGCTAAGTGCTAAGTGCTAAGTAATGCTAAGGTGACCACATATCCTGATTTTATAGGGGCAATCCTGATATATCGGGGCTTTGTCTTATATAGATGCCTATTTCTCCCCACCCCCCATCCCGATTTTTCACACTGGCTATCTGGTCACCCTATGTAGGGCACACTGCAGTGTTCAAGCCCGGAAGTGGATGGCTGTGATGAGGGCCGCATCAGAAAGGAAAGGCTGCAACTCCGAACTACCACAGACTGAAACCCGTGCTACTAGAGGCCACTCTCACCTGGAAATGCAAGAGCACTCCGAGGCCCAAAAGCATCTCGCAAGGGGTGGACTTACTCCAGCCAATAGATGGAATAGCTGTAAACATTAGTCCCTCAAGTTGCCTCCCCCTTTTCCAGACTGACTTTCAACCAATGGTTCTCCTATCCCAGGTCCCTCCTTTGGCCAGGTACTCAGAAAGCAAGTAAACGCTACCATCTACATCTTCAGAAAGGAGGATTAGAGCTCAGTGTTATCCACAGGCCAATGCTACTGCAACCCAAACTGTCTCCTCTAACAGCCTCATATTTACCGAACAAGAGGAGTGGCAAATTCTGTGTCTTCTACCTGTGAGCTCCACTGCTCTTAAAGTTTGCTCACTTGCCCTGGTTATATTTTCCCTCTTCAGTTTTGCTCCATCCAACCTTTCTTTGCCACCCTGCTAGACGGTTGCTGGGAGCAACACCCTGCAAAGGTGGGCCATATTAGCATAACTGCGTGCATCTGTAAGGGTTCAGGAAATTAAGCTTCATGTTCATTGTTTGATTGTAAACGCTCTCCTGGAGGTTAAAAGCAGTAAAAAGAAGAGGAACCAAGAACTTCTCTTTCCACAACAACAGCCCTCTCCCCTCGTTAAATAGAAGAGATTCTCAATTAGCTGTCACTAGTACTGGGGCTTATAGCCGAGTGTGCAGACCAGCCACTAAAGCATTACCAGCACAAATCTGGATCACGCATGCTACCCCGCACCCATAGGAGGCACAGCAAATGGCAAGGCAAGCTGCACAGGCCTTCAGATTTTAGAGCACTTTGAAGAATCAACCTTGAAACAGACCGGACTTCTCACGCTTCTAGCGGAGCTGGTGCTCCACTCTAACGACCAGAGCTGATTGCATCCAGCGGGACAAACATACGCCGCCTGATATACTGCACTAGTCCAGGCCTGCATCTCTCCTGCATAGCATATGCCAGACTCTGTGGTACATGTCAAGACGATGTCTCCAAATTCTGCTTTACTTCAGACCGAACATTTAAACCCCTGTCTTCAGAGGAAACAGCCAACCTATCACCCCACTGGGTACTCTCAGCCTCACCAGCAGAGATTTGATGAGGTGATGCACAAGGTTCAAATCCCTGTTAAAAATGTCATCACTTTTCCAAAGAGCAGAGTGAGAGCATGCAGCCCCATGGGACAACGTTCCCCTAGGATCAAAGCCACTGTTTCCTGCTGCTGTTTGCCAAACAGCTTTTAAAACAATCCAATTAGGCGAGCAGTAAAATATGTGCTAAGCATTGACATTGTGTATGAAAGAGACACACTCCAGGGCCTCCTGCTAATCAATGAAGTGGATGTAGAGTGTCTGATTCAATTATCTGCTCTTTTCAATCAAAGATTCTCTAAATGAGAGTCTGAGCTGAGATCCCACGATGGGGCCTGAGCCAGCGTGGCCAGCTCTCATGATTTGTAGCATGAGACTCAGGATATTTGATGTTTTACATAAAGCCCCTGCTGCTCCTGGAGGCACTAATTAGGGGAGAATCTCCGCATTCATTTAATAAACGAAATAAGCTCCTAGCCCTCATCGTTGCAGAGAAAAGCTTGAAAATGTGCCGGCTCAGAAACCAGGAGGCAAAGACAAAGCACCCACATGTGTTGGCTTTTTTTAATTTCATGATTTTTAAGCCAATCTCCTGATTTTGGGGGCCCACAGCATGACTTCTGAACATTTGAGCTTGGCAATACTGCTGCTGCAATGTATCCTGGCCTTAGCCTGGCAGATCATGCCAGGCAGAACCTGTCTTCCACAGCAAGTGCCTGTGTTACTTGTCCAATGCTTTGCATGTCCCCTTTTTAGCTGTGGAATGATGTATGGTGGTTGGCTTCTCCATCATTATCCCAGAGCATGGCACTGGAGAGGGCCTTAAAGTTCAGTTCCATCTCCAAACTCCTCTAAAGGCTGGAAGTGCTTGGATCAAGAGTTTTGCTTTGGGGCCCTAATATCGAAATAGAGAACAGCAATATTATCAAACACCTCTCGCTTTTCTGCATTACTATTGATAACTCTACCATTTCCATCTAGTAATGGACCAATTCCACTGACAGGATTCTTCTTGTTCTTAGTACATTTAAAGAACTCCTTTTTTTTTTTTTTGGCCTTAACTCTGCTGGCCATTGACTTCGTCTTGTGTCCCTTGGCTTCCCTTATCAATTTTCTGCAATTCCTAACTTTTGATTTCATAGACTTTAAAGCCATTACCATCAATTTCCCCTTTCTTCCATGTGTTTGATACACAGAGAGAGAGAGAGAGAGAGAGAGAGAGAGAGAGAGAGAGAGCTGTCTTCACCTTCCCTCTAAACCAGGTTGGTTTTTTAAACCAGCACAACCTTCTTCCTCGATTGTGGCTTTTTGAACATCTAGTAAGGTGTTCTGAAATGATTCCCAACGATCATTCACATTTTTTTCTGATTAAATTCTTCCTCCTAGCTGATTTAGCTCATAACTGTTTTAAGCTTTGTGAAAATGGCCCTATTAAAGCACCAAGAATGTATATTACTGGTCTGGACTTTATTCTGCTTGCACGTTATAAATGTGATTAAGTCATGATCACTAGTACCTAAGCTACCATTGTTTTTAGCTCTGGGATCAGTTCCTCTTTCTCTGTTAGGACAAGGTCTAATAAAGAATTCTCCTTCTTGGCTGCAACACTTTTTGAGTTAGGAAATTGTTGTCTATCATGTTTAGTAATTTCCAGGCTGTTTTAGTACCGGCAGCATGAGACCTCCAGCAAATGTCACTCAAACTGAAGTCCCCCATGATCACGCAGCTGTTTTCCTACACATTGTAGATAGGTGCCTAAGGAGCCGGTCATCCTGTTCCCTAGTGTGATTTGGAGGTCTGTAGCAGACACCAACTAATACCCAAGCTTGTCCTTTATTTGTTAGGGCATTGATCCATGAGCGTTCCAGATCGTTTTCTTCCAAGCTACCAGTGATTTGGAAACAGGTTCTGCCCTTTTGGACATGGAGAGCCACTCCCCCACTCCTGTGAGGAAACCCGACTGGAGTTTGGGCCTAGAAGTTTGGGGACCTAGAGACAGGGCCAGGAGGCCGAGCTCCAAATCGGAAGAGCTGAGGAGATGGGCTGTGAGAACAGACTGGGACGGAAGAGGAGCTCCAGCCGGGACAGATGACACCAGAGCTAAGTACAGACTATTGTGGGGCGTGGGACTTTATTTTGGGACCTTGAGGAGCATTAAGAACTGCTTTTGTTCTTAAGCCCGCCCCAGGCAGAGAATGTGTTACCCACAGGAACACCTGCGTGCAGCTCGTAAGGGGTCTGCAAGAGGGTGCTAAAAGGGGCAGGGTGCCTGCAAAGCGACCCTGGCCACAAAGGGCTGGCCAGTAAACGACCACTCCACAACACATGGTGCTAGGCACTGCCCAGACACATAGTAAGGGAGAGTCGTGTCCTGAAGAGTTTGCAGGCTAAAGACAAGGCAGACATAGGGGAAATCAAGGCACAGAGGGAGTGGTGAAGTGACTTGCCGGAGGTCATTCTTTGGATGGTGCATGGGCACTGGGCACTCACTTTTGCTAACATCTGGGCTACCCATCAGTGCTTCATTGAGACAATATTCTCTCCAGGGCCGTTCGATGTCTTCCCCTTCTGTTAGCACTTTTTCATCTACTACCCTGATAACACAGTCTGTTGGGGAGTGAAGGTTTTAGTGAGTTTCTTAACGGTGTTGAAAGGTCCTTAGCCACAGTCACTCAGTATGCTGTTGGTTATGGCCACTGTCTACTGACAGATCCCTGTTTGTCCCATCACCAGCCACGAAGTCTTTCAACCGTGCTTCCTGGATACAAGCTGTGCTGTTTCAATAGGTCTTTTCATGTTGTGTCCGATCGCTTTCCTGGCCAATTCAAAATGTTAACTTATCATGGGGTTTTGCTGCTGGACCTGTGGTCCCCAGAAATAGGAAGGAACCCACCAGGGGACCCAGTGCGTGAATGTAGGAGACCCGGGTTCAAATGGGGAAGTTCTAGTTTAGTGAGTTCTCGGTCCCACAGAGGATGTCTGTTTATATCGCAACATTCATGAAATCTGGTTCCGTTGGGAATCTGCACTCAGGGGAAGCCCAGAAGGGCCCAGAAGAGATGCTGCAGGCCAGAATCAAGATGTGTTTGCAAGGGCAGTGAGAAGGCCCAGGACTGGCACAGATCCGAAATGAGGAGCATTGGCAGAGACGAGGGCTTGAGCAGCCGATGTCTTGCAGGTCAGGATCAAGGCGTGAGCCATGCAGAGCAGTGTGACAGTCCCTAGGGTTGGAGCAGCAGGGATTGAGGAGCATTGGCAGAGCTGTGTGGGCCTCCTTGGAAAGTTTACTCGGAGCGTGTCCTCAAGAAGCCTGGCTTGGCCAGGCCTATTATTGAGCCATGTGGAACTCATGTTTGGCTCATTGGCTCGGCAGTACCCAGAATGCTTTGCCAGCTCCTATCGATGTCATGCACCTGCTGGAGGATTTAGAGCATCACTCGAATGTTGACAAAGCGGGCGAGTGAGTGACTCTGGCACCGGTCGCTTTGTCTGTACGTTCCATTGCAGAGCTCACCCCAGCTGGGCCCAGCGCACATCGTCAGGGTTGTGCACATAAGCAAAAGGTAAAAGGGGATGAGCAGGGAGCACTGCAGAACATGATACAACATCAATGAGACAGAGAGAGAGAGAGAGAGAGACTCCTTTCTCCAGGCACCAAAGACTCTCCTTGGCATTAGCATGATCAGGAACCCCCTGACTCCTGTCTCTCATCAGACACACCCATGTTCCACCCACACCCTGCCCCTTTTTACCCTGAGAGTAAGGGATTCAGTGCACAAGGAACTCCTCACCATCCAGCGCTTAACCTCATGCCTGCACGGAGCCTCCAGTCACACCTGCCCTGGAGACCAATAGCCTTGTGTGCCCCATGCAAGGATCTGTAGGGTCAAGGCAATTGTCCGCCTTCACCCTCTTTTAAAGCTGGCCTCAGCGTAACCCACAAGTAAAACAGGTCGTT